AGTTCCATTTTTTAAATTGTGGTGTAATGTAAAATAAACTACGTGTAGTTCACGTTTGATGAGCCCACACACTGCCTTGACAGATAAAGAAAATATGCCACGCAGGAGAACAGTAAAGAACAAGTAGTTTACTCTTCTTAGTTCAGAACAACATATGTACAATATGATTGGTTACAAATGGTCTTTCTTTCTCCTTCATCAGCTAATGAAGCGAGAGCACATTCCAACTCTGTCTCTCTCTCTGCTTCTCTCTTCATCTCTCTCTGCATCTACATAACTCAACCTTGAATAAACATGTAACAGTAACCAAAAGTCCCAGGCTCAATCATCTCCCTAGGCCAGGGGTCCTCAAACTAAGGCCCGAGGGCCAGATGCGGCCGTCCAAGATCATTTACCCGGCCCTCGCTCAGGGTCAACCTAAGTCTGAAACGACTTGAAAGCACACAACAAAAACAACAACAACAATCCTATCTCATCAGCCAAAAGCAGGCCCACACTTCCCATTGAAATACTAATAAGTTTATATTTGTTAAAATTATTCTTCATTTTAATTATTGTATTGTTTTTAAGTGTTTTTTGCACTACAAATAGAATTCCTTTTCTAAGTCTTTTTGAGTAAGATGGGAAACATGTTTTTGTTTGATGTGTGTTTCTTGTAATGCTAATATCGTATATTTTCCTTTTCTGATTTGGTTGATTTTTTCCCCCTTTTGGTTGGGGAGTTTAAACCATTCACGTTGTTAACAAAGCATTTGATCTCCATTTTAATTTTCCTCTTCTTGATCCGGTTCTATTTCTGGTTCTTCTTCTTCTTCTGTGTGTGATTCCAATGTCGATGTTGCCAGTCCGAGACACATCTCATAGTCTTCATGGGATTTTTCTCTTGTTCTCTTGCTTCCTGGTTTTGTCTGGATTCCTTCTTCTTGGGGATATTTTTGTTTATCCTTCTTTTGGTCTTTTGTCACTTTTTTTGTAAAATTCTTTGGCCTTTTCTTCGGAGGTTATCCAGTGTCTGGCTTCATTGTATGTTAGCATGAGACCTTCTATTCTTTCCCAACGGAACCTTATGTTTCTTCTTTTATTTATTTCCTTCTTTTATTTAAGGTTGACTGTGGGAATTCTTATGTAGATAAGAATCTTGATTTGAACTTAATTTATTTGTTCAATTTTCTTATAATTATTTGCTAATTAATTGATATTAAATAATATATATATATAAGTTAATCAATATAGAGTTTCAGCAATTCAATAACTGGTATCAATTGATAAGTTGATAAGCTAATTGATAATGGGGTGTATTTTATTCAGTTCTTAGTGTCTTTAATTGATGAATTTTAAAATAAATTTCTAAGTTCATTAATTCATTAATTAAGTCTTCTTTATTTACCTTTAAATTTTATCTTCCTTATTCCCTTTTAATATGATTTTCTTGTACCTCTTAGTTGTTTCTTCTCTCGGCCGGGAGGTGGGGGAGTTTCTCTGGGTTTGTCTCTTGGTATGGTGTGTCTTTTATTATCGCTTGACGTCCTAATTCTTTTCTTTGTATACTTTGTACTTCAAATTCTTTTATTTGTTCCCCTTTCGTTTTTGCTCCTTTGCTTCGTAAAATGTGGATTGGTCTGCTGTAAATCGGGTCTCGTCCGAGACTCAAATTGCCTCGTACCCTGTGGGTTGCTTCCCGGATCTTTGGACGCCACCCTTGAGGGGTAACGTGTCCTAGACCATCGGGGGGTCTAACCCTATGGGTTTTGCTGTCTTCCCAGACTCAATCAGCTAGGAAGAGGAAGCTACACGCTCTACCCAACCACCTTGCTCGGCTGGCACTTTGAGAGCCCTCAAAGTGTCTGACCAGCAGCCATGCCATCCACACCGGAAGTCAGATGCTTGTTTGTTTTTAAGATGGAAAGCACATGTCTGTGTTTTAGATGGATTAGGGATCAGCTAGTTTTCCCTGTAATAGGCAGTAAGAGCACCTATTGCTTCGGAGAGCTTCTGTTCAACCATTTCAAAGCTCCCTGCTTGAGCGGTGATGGCACGATCGTCAGCATAAATTAAACTGTCTGTCCTTTCTGACAAAGGCTGATCATTTGTGTAAATGTTGAACATGGATGGAGCAAGCATGCTCCCCTGAGGCAGGCCATTCTTCTGCTTACACCATCTGCTTCTCTGGCCCTGGAACTCAACAAAAAACCTCCTGTTTTGTAGCAGATTTCCTATGAAGTGGGTAAGGTCGGACTCCTTTGTGATATTATACATTTTTCTCAGGAGTAGGCATATCATAAGCTGCTGACAGGTCTATGAAGACAGCTTGTGTAGTCTGCTGCCTTTCAAAACCATCTTTTATGTGGTGAGTCTGGTTCAGCACTTGTGATGTGCACCTTTTTCCTTTCCTGAAACCAACTTGCTGTGGGATCAAAAATGGGTCTATTTTTTCCATAATTCTATGCAAAATAAGTATCTCCTGAACTTTGTAAAGATGGCACAATAAGGAGATTGGTCTATAGCTTTTTGAATCATTACCTGGTTTCAAAATGGCTATGACTCTTGTTTTCCTCCAGATTTTAGGGATCTGACAGGATGCAATGCAGTTGTTCATCAGCATAACGATTATAATTTCAAAACTCCATAACCCACACCCTTAATATGAGCTGCAGCACGCATCAAGCCAAAAACAGTGCGTTAAAAAACTCACCAGAAAGTCCAAAATAAGGCAGATCTTGGCAACTGGGTAATTTCTTTTCTCAGTGACTCTCTAGCTGCAGATTCTGCAGTTTCTCATAATGTGGTACATTAATCCTATTTGTAATGGAAAAGGGTTTATTAAAACCCGAAAACCTGGATAATCCTGGATAAGGTGTCTGGTAGAGCATAACACAGTTTCCCTATGTTCTTCTACGAAACACGTTTCTAAACCTACCAATCCTCATTGGACATATGGAATATAATTGCATGGTTCTTCCCTGATAGCAGATTCCAGCCTTGATCCATTTAAGTGATTGTTGCAATTACCCTCTTCTTAAGTGGAACCCACTGTGTTTCTGAATTGAAAACCATCACCATTTGGTGCTGGATGTAAAATAGTGGCTCAAGCAGGCAAATACAAATTAAGAACTAGGATGCCTCTGAATGTAGGTTTAGGAATTCCTGGTCACTACCAAAATAAAGATGAAAATTATTGCTTTGTCGAAGGCTTTCATGGCTGTGAGTTTTCCGGTCTGTCTGGCCATGTTCCAGAAGCATTCTCATCTGATGTTTCACCCACATCTATGGCAGGCATGCTCAGCTGAGGAGCTGAGGTTTACATACCTGTGGAATGTCCAGGGTGGGAGAAAGAACTCTTGTCTGTTTGAGGCAAGTCTGAATATTGCAATTGGCTGGCTTGATTAGCATTGAATGACCTTGCAGCTTCAAAGCCTGGCTGCTTACTGCCTGGGGAAATTCTTTGTTGGGAGGTGTTAGCTGGCCCTGATAGTTTCTTGTCAGGAATCCCCCTGTTTTCTGAGTGTTGTTCTTTATTTACTGTCCTGATTTTAGAGGCTTTTCTTTTAGGACTGGTAGTCAGAATTTGTTCATTTCCATGTTTTCCTTGATGAACCAACCTGGTCACAGCATGTTATTGGAGAACACAGAAATGTCAACCACCATGTCAGACTACACAGAGAAGCAATTGAAATCCACAAGCATGGCTGCTTCCTGCCTGGGGGAATCCTTAGCATTGAATGGCCTTGCAGCTTCAAAGCCTGGCTGCTGCCTGTCTGGGGAATCCTTTGTTGGGAGGTGTAAACCAGAGAAGTCGACCATAGCAGAGCACCTGATGAACCAACCTGGACACAGAAATGCTGGACCACTCTTGACAACCACCATGTCAGACTACACAGAGAAGCCATTTAAATCCACAATTTCAGTGTGTGGACAATTTCAACATAAAGGAAGATCTAATAAGAAAACTAAATGTGTCTGGCTATTTTCCCAGTGACCATCGGTATGCCCTATAAGTACTGTAATTCCCCCAAAATAATACTCTACAAACAAGATTAAGTTCAAACAATTGAGTTTACTGAATAATCAAGGTATAAAAGTGTAGTTTGATTATGATATAAAGTTAGAATAGTAAAATATAAACTCTGAGGTAAAAAACAACTATAATTTCTATGAGGTAAATATAACTATAAACTATGGGGGATGTATGACTATACTATGAGGCATGTATTGGCTATGAACTCTGGGGCATGTATATCTGTGAACTCTGGGGCATGTATGTGCTAAGGATGGCCTGTTCGGACTGCAAGCCAGACCAGACACTTTCTGGCAACCAACTATAAGCTATTGTGTCCTGCTTGGCAGAATGGAGTTGGACTGGATGACCCTTGGGGTTCCCTTCCAACTAGAGGATTCTGTAAAATACCTGGTGTAACGAGGCCACCAATTTGTAAAGAAGGCACCAGTTTGTAACGGTTTGTAAAGGAGCCACTACTTTGTAAGGACTTACTAAATTGATAACACAACTAATAGCTTGTAATGTTGATTTGGTCTTTCTTGAATGTGTAGCGTGGCTTAACTTGAAAGTATTTGTAACATAGACTTGGCTTTAAAAGAAACCGCAACAAGTTTATTGAAGTATAGAAGAAGCTTGATGGTTTCAATGTTTCTTAGCTCTTAGAGGCACATTTCTTCAGAGGTTACATTTAATACATTTCATAAAACAACTCTTACTCTTAAGAGTAATCTATTAAAGTAATCTATTAAAGAAAGAAACACATTTTGAAAGAGAATAAGTTTAAAACCTGTTTAGTGAAAGGAATAGTTCTCTGGTAACCCAGCTCAATGTGAGTTGAGCTGGCTACCATCCCCCCCCCCCTAGTTATGCTAGTTTAGATAATTACCCTTTTAAACACCTATCTATTATTATACATAACTGTAGATTAAAACTCACACTTCACCACACTTGGCCAACTCAATTTCTGTCTCATTCCATTCCTGCCTGTATTTCCTTCGAATAGGAAGAAAACAAGACCATATTGCAGAGTGTCGCTGCCAAAATGGACTGGAGCAAATCCGAAGATGCATTTGGGACATCAGAAAACCCGGAGACGAATCTCGGGGCTATACGTGGTCATGCTGTGGACAAAGTGTGCCTTGGGATGAAAATAATTGGGGAACAGCTCCTGCCCCGCAAGAAAACCGGAGACAATGCCCAGGAAATAGTAGAGGGGGATTCTAGGCCAAGCTCAGGTATGTCTGAACCAGATTTAGTGGAGAAAATTCCAACTGTAATTCATTCTGTATGGCAGGATCTCCCCTTGATAAACCTGAGGTACTATTTTCTATAAAACATCAACAAACTTCGCCCATCATCCCTTTTCCATGTATGAAGCATACAGCATTAAATAGCTGATATCTGATTAGGGTACAGCACCATACAGTGTGAAATAAATGGAATGTGGATATAATCATATACTCCAGTATATCAGAACACTGGTGTAAGTATTATGAGTCTTTAAAAGGGGAACTCATAAAACAGTTATAGCATTTCGCTCTGCGCATTATGTATCTCCAGCATTTGGCATTTAGGGATAAATATACAAAATGATGGATCATACTGAATTATTGTTGTTGTTGTTGTTATTGTTGTTGTTATTATTATACGGAATTCCTCTTTAGTCCAGCTTTTTGTTCACCAGAAAGCCAGACTAAAGTAACTGATAAACAAAGGCATACTGTGATATACTGTATATACTCGAGTATAAGCCAACCCAAATATAAGCCAAGGCACCTAATTTTACGACAAGAAACTTGGAAAATGTATTGACTTGAGTATAAGCCAAGGGTGAAAAATGCAGCTGCTACTGAAAACCATCAGTAGGTTAAACGTTTTTGTGTATTTACATAAAACTGTAATTTAAGATAAGACTATCCAACTCTGATGAAACCATTATTCTAATCTTCTTCAATGTCAATGTGCTTACGTATCCTTCCAATAATAATAGAGTAAAATAATAAATGTAATAATAATAATAATAATAATAATAATAATAGAGTAAACAATGGAAATTTAATAACAGTAATAGAGTAAATGTAATATACATAGAGAAAAATAATAAACGTAATAATAAATGTAATAAAAATAATACTAATAACAGAGTAAAATAATAAATAACCTTGACTCGAGTATAAACCTAGGAGAACTTTTTTAGCCTAAAAAGGGGGCTGAAAAACTAGGCTTGTACTCGAGTATATACAGTAAATAGCTGTTTTAACTATAAATTTTAAACCCACATCCTGTGTTAATTTTAATCTGTGTTCTTTTTAGTTACCTAAAACCATGTATTGTCAAAGCCGTTGACAATACATCTATTCTCTCTTAATATTTGCCTTTAAATCATTCTCTCAAGAGACAAAAATAAGCAGACGTCTTTAAAAGTAATATAGTTGGTTTACTCACAAACTTCATGTATTCAGCATGCAAGGACTTTGCTGATCAATTCAGTTACAGACTGTAGGTAACACAGGGCATCATTCTTATAATCAATAGTGCATAATCTAAAGCATCTCACTGTTCTGAGAGTCTAATAGAGTCTCTGTCTAGTCTGAAAGTCCAATGTAGACTCTAAAGCAGTGGTTCTTAACCTGCGAACCGCAAGGACAAAAATCTGGTCTTTGAGCCTCCTTCCTCTTTGTTTTTTAAATTTTATTTTATTTTATTTCCACTCCTTTTGCACCACCTGCCACTCCTTTCCTGTCACTGATCAGCCCCAACCCCTTTGATAGACCACGTCCTCTCTAGATTATTCAATATGATTTTCTGTGGGCAAGCAGATGGCTACTGGATGATGTATATTCTGTATCAGAAAGTAGAGCTGATGTGGTTTCTAAATATGCACCCCAAATTACCAAAGCAACTCTAAAGTTGACCAAAAACTGATTTGTAACCCTTTTAGTACTAATGTTGGAGAGTGGTCCCTGGTCGAAAAAAGCATAAAGTTCCTATTGGTCAGAAGCATACATTTGTTCCTACTGAAGTCTCTAAACAAACAGTTCCTGCTGGCGTCTGAAAGCATACATCGCCTGCATTGAAGTTTAAAGCAAACTGTTTCTAAAATGGAGTCTGAGTCCTGAACAAGCCCCGATCAGATCGCATGGTCTGCAGCCCCTCCCACAACAAAGAGTAAAGGAAAACTGCATACCAATATACACATATACAATACAGTAAACAATTTGAATTACTGTATATACTCGAGTATAAGCCTAATTTTTCAGTCCTTTTTTTAGGCTGAAAAAGTCTCCCTCGGCTTATACTCGAGTCAAGGTTTTTTATTATTTTACTCTATTATTATTATTATTATTATTATTATTATTATTATTATTATTATTATTACATTAATCATTGTACTCTATTATTATTACATTTATTATTTTAATCTATTATTATTGGAAGGATATGTAAACACATTTACACTGAAGAAGGTTAGAATAAGGCTTTAATCAGAGGACAGTCTTATCTTATTTATTCAAAAACATTTAACCTACCAATGCCTCAATTAATGCAATTTTATTGGTATCTATTTTTATTTTGGAATTTACCAGTAGCTGCTGCATTTCCCACCCTCGGCTTATACTTGAGTCAATCTGTTTTCCCAGTTTTCTGTTGTAAAATGAGGTGCCTTGGCTTATATTCGGGTTGGCTTATACTCGAGTATATACGGTATATACATAGCAAACAACTAGTGGAGGCTTGAAGAAGGTTGTTATTTCCAACATTATGATAATGTGTTTTTAACTATGTTGTGCCCTGTCTTGAGCCACAAGGGTAAGTGGGTAAGAATAAAATTATTATTATGATTATTAGTAGCCGTACTACTAGTAGTAACCATTTATGGCCATTTATGTCCCACACATTTATTTAATCCCCCCCCCCCCCAGAAGATCCCCAACTTGGCCACTATCTTATAGGTGTGAGTTCAACCTTTCGTTAAGTGAAGAAATCTTTTATTTGATCTGTCCTGAATCTCACCATAAGCAGTTTGAGTGGATTAATATTGGTTAAGGCAAAAATTAACTAAAGGTATATCCGCAGCAGGATGTCTAAACCTCCTGGCTTTATTTTCTCATTGCAGGGTTCTATGACACCAGTGAAATGGGTTCCCTGTCGGATTCCTGTGCTTCTATGCACAGCGATGGGCCTTCGGGGTTGCCCTACGGCACTGGCTCCTTCCCTCACCTACCAGGATTAAGAGAGAGCAGTTTTGCCCGTCCGCACTCAACGGATGAAGCTGCTGTCCGCCTCCTAGACCTCCAAATTCAGCACCTCACCTTGGCAGCAAACCTTCCCGATGCTGTGAACAGGAGACCTGTATCAACAGGTGAGAATAGGTCACCCCTCCTTCGCACGGCTGAGCCTTTGTCATGGCCACGTTAAAAGGTCATGTAAGGCCATAGTCAAGTGCCAAATAAATCTTGTTGAGAATCTTCTTCAGGTTTGAACTAGTAAGTTTCTAGCCCTCAGAAATGTATGATATGTAACATACCCTGGTGAAATCTCTACATCCCACAGGACATTACGAATATTATCGTATCCTCCCCTTTTTCCTCTAAAGCCACTTTGAGTCTCCTCGTGGTGAAAAAATCAGGGTATAAATAAACGTAACAACAAGTGTTCTGGGCAGTTGTACATTGCCTTTGGATCCTATAGGTGGGCCGTGAGTCCTGAAATAAGGTCCGTGGCGAGGGGGGGGGGATGCGTGCTGCCGTTGGAGAACAGGGAGAGAGAGAAAGAGAGGGAAGGAAGGAGACCAGCGCCGTTGCTCTTGCCCTCTCGCAGCTTCCCCAGCACCATTGGAGGAGAGCGAAAGAGAAAAGGAGAGTCCCCCAAACTAACTGTTGTTGTTGTTGTTAGCTCCCATTGCCAAATACAAGAGTTGTAATGGGAAAACAGCCCTTTGTAAGACCTTGTTTAGTCCCCCAAAGTTGTTGTTGTTGTTGTAATAATATAATAATAATAATAATAATAATAATAATACTTTATTTATGCCCTGCCACCATCTCCCCAAGGGACTCGGAGCGGCTTACATGGGGCCAAGCCAAGCAACACATCAAAAACAGCAAGGAATAATAAAACATCAAGCAATAAACAAAAATAAACAATACAGTTAATGTAACTCATAAATAGGCAATAACACACAAGAATTTAAAAACCTATGTCTGGGGCAGTTAGGAACAGTTTCTGTTGGCAAGTCGGATTATTAACAAAAGACCCTCCTCATAAATGTACAGCAGAGTGACTTAGCAGCAGCAGCAGCATGGCTCAGCACCAGTAGCCCAAAATGATAAAAAGAACAAAACCACACAGACAATGTTATCTCTTCCATAAGAGCTTTTCTTTATAGCAAAATAATATGGTGGCACTATTTACAAGAACGAGGTTTCCATTTCACAAATAAAGTTCTTTATTCTTCCTTCTTCACTTCTATGCTGGGCTTCTTTCTCATGCAGATAAACAGCTTCACTCTCACAGAGCTTTTTCTCACAATGAACTTATACTAAAGCTTCACACAGTAGCTTTTTACATACAGCAGCCTTTATACTAAAACTTTACACATGAGGCCTTTAACGTGGGGTTTCTGTCACTGAAGCTTCTAACGCCAGGCCATCTCACACTCGGCCTTCTCATAGACTAAGCCCTACCTCACACTGTGAGGCTTACCTCACACAGAGGCTTCTCTGACAGACAAAAACCTACCCCACACTATGAGGCCTTCTCACAGACTGAGGTCTTTCTCCCACTGAGGTTTACCTCAGACTAACAGCTACTAAGCTACAGGCACACCTGCTTATATAGAACTGCAGCTTTTGCTAAGTCATTGCATTCATTTAACCCTTTCAGTGCTTGACTTACATTTTTGTAATTAAAAATAACTAGCTAATTTTTAATATTTCTGACAACAGTGTCATCTGTATCTTCAAAATTTATTTTGGAATACTGATACAACAGTAAAAAGTTGGAACATATCCAAGCTCTGAGTTCCCTATCAATGTGTTTCCTTCCCTGTTGCAGGAGACATTGAGTTCATCTTGGGCCTGGGAGACTTGTCCCTCTCGTTGCCAAAGAACCCATGCCTCCAGTTGCTGCAGTACAAGGCAGACCTCGTATCTTGCAACACCAGTGAAGTCTACCACTATCCGAGTCCGTTGCATGCAGTGGCCCTGCAGAGCCCACTCTTTACCAGCAGCCTCTCCCAGAGTTCATCCCAGGAAGATTTCGATGAGGGGCCCTTGGAAGCTATCCAGGCCGACTCCCCAAAGAGAGTAGGTCTCTGCTCCCAGGAACAGCGGAAGGTGCAGCTGGATCAGTATATCGCCAAACTGGTGCTGCGCTATAAGTGCCGCTCCATAGCCAGCAGAACAGACAGTGGATCTCTAGCAGGGTATCAGAAGAGCCTGTCTATGTCGTCAGTCTGCAGTTCTGTGCTTGGCACCGTCCAACTCCTTGCCCCGGTCCCTGGGTGGAAGATCCGGCGACACATTTCTACCCATTCCCATTTACGCTCTCCGGAGGACTCTGAGGGTTTACAGAATTCTCATATCTTGGATTTCTCTGGCTCCACTCAATCCCACATTACTAATCTGGTGAAGGCAAATGAACCGTCAGTGCTGTCTCTTCCCGATCCTCTCTCATGGTACCCAGAACCCAAATTCATCCCTTACCCAGTTGGTTCAGAGAGAGGACTTCTGGACTGGGCAGATGGCATCCCAAAGATTGAGACTCCATTCAGAAAGGTGGCCTCCTTGCCCCAAGAAAAGCTATACAGAGGCAAACACATTTCCCGGGAGTTGGTGAAAAGACCTGAGAGGCAGGAGAAGACGGCTGAGAGGAGTTGGTTGAGTCCACGGGAGTTGCTGAACCGCCTGAGCCTTCGCCGCCGGCCTTCCCCTCACGTAGGGAGCATGTCCTGCGCCAGCTCAGAAATGAACGTCAACGTCATACGTCATGGCGGCCTTCCATCTAGCAAAGGCAAATCCATCAAGCCCAAATGGACCTCTGTCATGGAGATCTCCAGTAGGACTCCGTATCGACCTCAGCTAAGACGCCCCACTCAGATACTGGCCCACCGCCTTGCCTTATCCTCCGACTCGCCCAACTCGTTTTGCTTCTTGGAGGACTTTGAGCGGTCGCTTAACAGCAGCATCAGCAGCGGCTCTAACCTGGCCAAGGTCGAAGCCACAAGTGCCATCAACCTGAATGGGGACTGGATTCTCCAGCTTGGGGATGAGTGGTCCCACGCCGCGGTCAGCTTAGACTCCGCTGACTTGCCGGTCCGCAGAGTCAAGCTCCACCGCAGCCGCTCCTTTAAGGAGTTCAAGAAGGCAATGTCGCGTTCTCTTAGGGGTTCCAGGGTCACCAAGTGATCCCCTAAACACAAGATGATTGGAAAAGTCTGGAATATCTATTGTGAGATAAATGGGGGGGGGGGAGTTTCATACTGTTATAGGATTGTAAGTTGTTTCCCCTCCCCTCCACATTTCCCTGCCACACACGCATGGCAAGGAGAGGACACAAATATAAGGTAAACCATTCTGTTTGGTCATATGAACTGAAGTCTTGGGATTCCTGTTAGTCTTAAACCAAAATAGTGAAGCTCTGATGCTCTTGGGATACTTTATTTGTGGGGGCAAATTCTCAGTTCTTACCATCTTGCAGCAGAAGTCAATTGAAGGAACAGCGAGACCATGGAATAAATTTGTATTCTAATAAAGATCTCTTCTGGCATTTCATCCTTCCTTTGTGTTGGGAATCGCAGCTGTTAAGCTCAAAAATAACCCTCACTTGAGGTGATTCCACCAAAAATGTAGCAGAGTGCTAGAAGCACACTTCATAACCAGCAGAAACTTGGTCAGGATTAGCTTCCATTCAACAGGATGGCACAGGATTGCAGAGTCACAAGTTAAGGTTCAAAATATTTACTGAAGTAAAAAGAAGTCAATTTTAGATAGAAAAGGGTCTTGGAGCTAACTATCTTACTAAGCTTATCTTCTAAGGAAAGTAAAAGGATGAGATATCAAAAGTATCYATGCAGCTACATTTTTCCTKGAGAATGGCAAAATGCGTCCTCAATGGAGGGGAGACAAARGCAGAAAGAGGGCAATGGGGAATCACCACATGGCCAAAACCTAGGGCAACAAAAATACGTTTAAATTGGAAGATRTAGCAATGGAATCTCTGTGAGGGATGAGGTGAGATTCCATTGCTACATCTTCAAAGGGTGAGAAGATAGTGGCAAGCAAGAAGACAAAGCCCCTTCTGGGATAAGCCTGTACAGAAATGTGTGTGTGGGGGGGGGGGGGAATCCCTCACTCTAATCCTATCCAGTCTAGGTACTCATTGAGGACTGGAGACTTGTAAAGTCCAGGGATGAAACCCAACACTTCTGTAGTAGAATAAATGTAGATATATGCAATACTTCCTTGTCAACCATTGAACACATGGCTTACTGACTTTCAAAACCAATATCCATATTTTGGTTTTTGTATCAAGGTGAAATGAAGGGTTGCTGTGAGTTTATTGGGCTGTATGACCATGTTCCAGCAGCATTCTCTCCTGATGTTTCACCACATCTTTAGCAATCATCTTCAGAGGTAGTGAGGTCTGTTGGACACTAGGCAAGTGGGGTTTATCTCGCTGTGGAATAATGTCCAGGGTGGGAGTAAGAACTTGACTGTTGGAGGCAAGTGTGAATGTTGCCACTGGCCAGCTTGATTAGCAATGAATGGCCTTTCAGCTTCAAAACTTAGCTCATTGTTGCCTGGGGGAAACTTTTGTTGGGAGGTGTTAGCTGGCCCTGATTGATACTTGTCTGGAATTCCCCAGCTTTTTGAGTGTTGCTCTTTATTTACTGTCCTGATTTTAGAGTTTTTTAATACTAGTAGCCAGATTTTATTCATTTTCATGGCATTCTCCTTTCTTTTGAAATTGTTCACACACTTGGGGATTTCAGTGGCTTCACCATGTAGCCTGACATGGTGGTTGTTGGAATGGTCCAGTATTTCTGTGTTCTAAAATAATATGCTTTGTCCAGGTTGGTTCATTAAGTGCTGTTCTATGGCTGGCTTCTCAGGTTGAGTTAGTCTGCATTGCCTTTCATGTTCCTTGATATGTGTTTGGGCAATGCTGCGTTTGGAGGTAGACTTGTCCACAGCTGCATGGTATACGATAGAGTCCTGCAGAGGTGTGAGGATCCCTCTTGTCCTTTGCAGAATGGAGCATTTGTTGGATTTTCTTAGCAGGTCTGTAGATTGTATGTATGTTACGTTTCTTCATCAGCTTCCCTATGTGGTAAATGGTTCCCTTAATATATGGCAAGAACACTTTTTCTTTGGGTGGATCTTTGTCTTTACTTTCATGGCTTCTTCTTGGTCTTGCAGCTCTTCTGATGTCTGTGGTGGAGTTTCCATTTTACTGTAGAGCCCAGTTGAGGTGGTTCAGGTCGCTTCCGAGGAGGTTTATTTTATTTATCGTGCCAGGAACAACCAGACATTTGTATTACATTTTTAACAAAACTAGCAAACAGACAGACAAAACACAAAGTTTGCAAGCTTGGTAGTTGATTAAATGTCTTTTGACCAGTATCTGGCCACTTGGAGTGCCTCTGGTGTTGCCGCAAGGAGGTCCTCCATTGTGCATGTTGCAGGGCTCAGGTTGCATTGCAGCAGGTGGTCTGTGGTTTGCTCTTCTCCACACTCGCATGTCGTGGATTCAACTTTGTAGCCCCATTTCTGAAGGTTGGCTCTGCATCTCGTGGTGCCAGAGCGCAGTCTGTTCAGCGCCTTCCAAGTCGCCCAGTCTTCTGTGTGCCCAGGGGAGTCTCTCATTTGGTATCAGCCATTGGTTGAGGTTCTGGGTTTGAGCCTGCCACTTTTGGACTCTCGCTTGCTGGGGTGTTCCAGCGAGTGTCTCTGTAGATCTTAGAAAACTATTTCTTGATTTCAGTCATTGACGTGCTGGCTGATACCCAAACAGGGGATGAGCTGGAGATGTCTCTGCCTTGGTCCTTTCACTATTGGCTGCTACTTCCCGGCGGATGTCAGGTGGTGCAATACCGCTACAGTGTAATTTCTCCAGTGGTGTAGGCGCAGACACCCCGTGATAATGCGGCATGTCTCATTAAGAGCCACATCTACTGTTTTAGCGTGGTGAGATGTTCTACAATGCGTATTCAGCTGCAGTTAGCAAAGCACAAGGGCAGATGTCTTCACTGTGTCTGGTTGTGATCCCCAGGTTGTGCCGGTCAATTTTTGTATGATATTATTTTGAGCACCCACTTTTTGCTTGATATTCAGGCAGTGCTTCTTGTAGGTCAGAGCACGGTCCAGAGTGACTCCCAGGTATTTGGGTGCACTGCAATGCTCCAGTGGGATTCCTTCCCAGGTGATCCTCAGAGCTCGGGATGCTTGTCTGTTCTTAAGGTGAAAGGCACATGTCTGTGTTTTAGATGGATTAGGGATTAGCTGGTTTTCCCTGTAATAGGCAGTAAGAGCACCTAGAGCTTCGGAAAGCTTCTGTTCAACCATCTCAAAGCTCCCTGCTTGAGCGGTAATGGCACGATCATCAGCATAGATGAAGCTCTCTGTCCCTTCTGGCAGTGGCTGGTCATTTGTGTAGATGTTGAACATGGATGGAGCAAGCACGCTCCCCTGAGGCAGGCCGTTCTTCTGTTTCCGCCATCTGCTTCTCTGGCCCTGGAACTCAACAAAGAAGCTCCTGTTTTGTAGCAGGTTTCCTATGAGGCGGGTGAGACGGTCGTCCTTTGTGATATTATACATTTTTCTCAGGAGGAGGCGGTGGTTCACAGTCTCATAAGCCGCTGACAGGTCTATGAAGACAGCGCCTGTGATCTGCTGCCTTTCAAAGCCATCTTCTATGTACTGAGTCAGGTTCAGCACTTGCAATGTGCAGCTTTTGCCTTTCCTGAAGCCAGCTTGCTGTGGAATCAGACATGGGTCTATTTTTCCCATAATTCTATGCAAAATAAGTCTCTCCAGAACTTTGTAAAGGTGGCACAACAGGGAGATTGATTTTAGAATAAGCAAAGCCCACCTTGTGGCAAGAAGGTGCATTTATTATGGCTTGCTTTTCTCTGAACTCAAGGGTGTATTGTTCCATGCATTTTGAAGTCAGTGACTTGAAGAGGTGAGAATGAATTGCTGTTTATGAGACGGTACCAAGCACCATAGACTTAATCACAGTAATTAAACTGGGAAAAATAGTGTGGAGTGAATCTACAAGTCAGAGCTTGTTGCCTTTAGTTCAGAACATGCTTTTTCAAGCAGTTGTTTCTGTTCAGTAATTTGAAGCTGGCATTCCTATTGAACCTAGGTGCAAATATTGCTTCTGTGTAGAGCTGCATAGCTCCCATTGATGCCTGCATATATGTTTGCAAATCTTCCTTTGAACAATTCTAAATCCTATAATCATAGAGTAGGAAGAGATCTTGTGGGCCATCCAGTTCAACCCCATTCTGCCATTGAAGCAAGAAAATCGCACTGAAAGCACCTTCCAACAGATGGCCATCCAGCCTCTGTTTCAAAGCCTCCAAAGAAGGAGCCTCCACCACGCTCCGGGGCAGAGAGAGGGTTCCACTGCTGAACAGCTCTCACAGCCAGGAAGTTCTTAGAATCATAGAATCAAAGAGTTGGAAGAGACCTCATGGGCCATCCTATCCAACCCCCTGTCAAGAAGCAGGAATATTGCTTTCAAATCACCCCTTATCTCCCTTATGTTCAGATGTAATCTCCTTTCCTGAAATTTGAAGCCATTGTTCCATTGCATCCTAGCCTCCAGGGCAGCAGAAAACAAGCCTGCTCCCTCCTCCCTCACTTATTGATCCATAGTCCTCATCCTGTCTCCTTTCAACCTTCTCTTCTAGAAGGTTAAACATGCCAAGCTCTTTCAGCTGCTCCTTTCAGGGCTTGTTCTCCAGACCCTGGATCCTTTGAGTCGCCCTCCTCTGGAAACATTCCAGTTTAGAGTCATCATCTCCCTTCAGTTGCAGTGCCGAGAATTGGACATAGTGTGATTCCAATTCTGCCAGTGTGACCAAGGCAGAATAGAGCATGGGGAGTATGACTTCCCTGGATCTAGGCACTAGACTCCTATTGATGCAGGCCAAAATCCCATTGCCTTTTTTAGCTGCTGCACAAACATTCCTGGCTCATGTTCTCCTTCCTCCCCACGAGGACTCCCAAGATCATTTTCGCGTGTCCTGCTGTCAAACCAGGCATCATCTCCCATTTCTACCTAAGTGGAGTATCTTGCATTTGTCTTGCATTTAATTTCCTTTTGCTAGTTTTGGCCAATTATCTCTCTAGTCCAGGGATCCTCAAACTTTTTAAACAGAGGGCCAGGTCACAGTCGCTCAAACTGTTGGAGGGCCAGATTATTATTTTTTTGTCATGCCAGGAGCAACCTGAGAAACTGCAAGTCGCTTCTGGTGTGAGAGAATTGGCCATCTGCGAGGACGTCTTCAGTCCTACCGGCACAGGGGTTTAACCCACTGCGCCACCGGGGGCTCTGGAGGGCCAGATTATAATTTGATTTAAAAAATGAATGAATTCCTATGCACACTGCACATATCTTATTTGTAGTGCAAAAAACACTTTAAAACAATACAATAATTAAAATGAAAAACAATTTAAACACATATAAACTTATTAATATTTCAATATGAAGTGTGGGCCTGCTTTTGGCTGATGAGATAAGATTGTTGTTGTTGT